GGCCGTCGCGCGGCGCGCGGCGCTCCTCGACGCGGTCGCGCGGCTCGCGGCGGCCTGGGCCGGCGGCGCCGGCGGCGCGGCGGCGCGCGCCGCCGACGCCGGCGCGTCCTGCGAGGCCGCCGCCGCGTTCCGCCGCGCCGTCGTCGCGCCCGCGGCCGCGCGGCTCGCGGCGGCCGCGCGCGGCGGCGCGGCGGCCGCGGCGCTCGCGGCCGCGTGCCCCTGCGGCGCCTTCCTCGAGGCCCTCGGCGGCGAGGCGCCGCTCTCGGCCGCCGTCGCGCGCGGCGACGCGGCCGCCGCGCGCGCCGCGGCGCTCGCGGCGTTCGACGCCGTCGCCGCCGCGTTCGACGAGCTCGCGAGCTACCGCTTCCTCGAGCTCCTCCGGTCGCGGCGCCAGCGCGAGGACCACGTCCTCGCGTCGCTCGCGCGCGTCGTCGCGCTCACGTGCACGCACGCGGCCGCCGCGCGGCGGCGGCTCCTCGCGCTGGGCTTCGACTACGAGACGGTCGTCTTCGAGGAGGCGGCGCAGATCACGGACGCGGAGAGCCTCGTGCCCCTGGCGCTCCAGCGCGGCAACGCGCTCCGCCGCGTCGTCCTCGTCGGCGACGACGGCCAGCTGCCGCCCGTCGTCTCGGAGCGCGCGCTCGTAGCCGCGGGCCTCGGCGCGTCGCTCTTCTCGCGGCTCCGGCGCCTCGGCGCGCGCTGCGTCGTCCTCGACGCGCAGGGCCGCTGCCGCCCGGAGATCGCCGACGTCTTCCGCTGGCGCTACGGCGGCGCCGCGGGCCTCGGCGACCTCCCGGGCGTCGCGCACGGCGGCGCGTTCGCCTTCGCGAACCCGGGCTTCGCGCACGCGTGCCAGTTCGTCGACGTCGCGCGCGGCCGCGAGGCCGCGCCGACGCCCCACTTCTACCAGAACCTCGCGGAGGCCGAGTACGTCGTCGCCGTCTACGCGTACATGCGGCTCCTCGGCTACCCGCGCGAGCGCGTCGCGGTCCTCGCGGCCTACAACGGCCAGCGGGCGCTGCTCGCGGACGCGCTCGCCGCGCGCTGCGGCGGCGACGCGCGCCTCGGCATGCCCGGCGCGGTCGAGACGGTCGACAAGTACCAGGGCCGCGAGGCCGACTACGTGCTCCTGAGCCTCACGCGCACGCGGACGCCGGGCCACCTCGCCGACCCGCGCCGCTTCGTCGTCGCGACGAGCCGCGCGCGCCTCGGCCTCTACGTCTTCGGCCACCTGCCGACGTTCCGCGGCTGCGCGGCCGTCGCGCCCGCCGTCGAAAAGCTCCTCGAGGGCCGGGGGCCCAAGCTCGAGCTCGCCTTCGGCGACAAGGCCTTCTCGCGCGCGGGCCCGCGCGGCGACCGCGGCGCCGGGGGGGGGCGGACCGCGCGGCTCTCGGCCGCGGCGCGCGCGCGCCGGCCGACGCGCGCGCGAGAGCCGCGGCGGCGCGTCGGGGGCTCGCCCCGCGATCGCGCGCCGGCGCGCGCGGCGACGCGGCGCCGTCTCCCCCCGCGCAGGCGCGGACCGGCCCGCGGGCGCCGCGCCGGCGCGCGTCGTCGCCGTCGAGGACGTCGCCGAGATGGGCGCCGTCGTCCCCGAGCTTTCGGCGCAGTAGACACGGCGCGCGACGAGGCGACACCCGC